ATCTGACTTTGAACCCAATTTGGAATATGTTCAACCACCCGGTTGCGTAACTGTCGCTCTGTTCTACCCACGTAGGTCGCTCCGCGCCCACATTGAAATTGGTAAATCAGATTAGAGTTGGCGTACAGAGGAAGACGTTCTTTTACCGGGGGTACGGGTATTCTAACACGGATCATTTGCTCACTCAGATTTTGCATTATCTGTGGAACCTCGTGTTCGATAGTTTGCTCGTGTCGCACACATCAGCTTTGCCAGTTCTCACGGCCATTTATCTTGCACTAGCTTGAAACGGTTTTGGTTAGGTTTACTGCGACTAATCCCATGTGGTCAACCAATAAGAAAAAAGCGTTTCAAGTGAGATGCGAACTAAAAGAGAAGATACAGAAATCGGGTAAACTTAGTGGATGCACGAACACCACTTTTGTTAGGATACTCAGCTATTATACGTCGTGTAAGTGAGGCGTGAACTGAAAAGCTAGAAAGCACTGGACAGCTGTTTCGACCTGGTTGGGTCTCATCCGTTCCGTGCGTGAATCCAGCGACCCGACTGGTGATCGAACCCAGTACCTTAGCACAAACAGAATGCAGGCATACAACCCCTTTCGGTCACCGAGCAGCTGATCAGATCGTTTTTCACTGTGAACAGTTGTCCAGTGCTTCCTAGCTTTTCAGTTCACGCCTCATTTACACGACGAATTCATCATCTGATCAAATCAAATCCTCCATTCTTCTCATGCTCAGCCATATCACTCGATGTCTGAACCTTGTTTGTTGGGTATCTTCTCCCCGACAACATTTGCATGGCCGTGACTCCCTTCGTAAAAGTTGATCTTATATTTGCACACTTGATAACCAAAAAGAAAGAAATAGCAATACTTATTACATACCTTTACGAATAAAGAAGAAACAACACTGTAACGGAGGTCGATTTAATTCCGGAATCATGTCACTGCACCTCAGCTCGTGTTTAGTGAAGAAAACAAAATAGTTTATATTTCACGAGTTATGATAATCTAACATAGTACCGACTCAATCCTCGGCTTACGTGGTAACCACGGCAATGCCAAACGGATGCAGACCTCTTTCTGCTGACACAGTACTGGCTTTCGGAATTGTTTTAATAACGCGAAACAATGCTCCGCGATCGGCCTAATGGATAGTCTCCGAAAAGATGGCTGCCAAGATTTTCAAAGGCCACAACAATCAAACGCTGGAAGCCCCTGCTGTGTCAGCATTGCTGTGGTAACCACAAGAGTAGAATAATGCATTAATACTATGTACGATTGTCATCACATTTGTGATATATAAATGATTTTGTTTTCTGGACTCAAATCGTGCTTAATTGCAGTGTTCTGTTATTTATTCAGGTAGGTAGCGTTGCTAAATCATCGGTAGACTGCCTTTATCCTGTCCTCTGCACCATATAACAAGACTGTCGATCGGATACATATTGGCGGATTAAAACGTATTCGGGAAGAATTTTATCAGTTTTCCTCTCTTGGATTATCCGGTGATGCATGAGTTCCCATTGTCTTATCGCGCATCGTCTTACCAGCATCAAACCGAAAGCCACAGTGTGCGATGCACTCGGTAAATGATAGGCGCATGGGATCATATATCAGTGACCGGACCCTCTTGGTGGTGGATACTGAGTTAATTGAAAACACGAAACAAGAGTGCGCATATGATGTTGTGCGTTGCGTTTGGTGCTCCGTTAGCGTGGTTCCAGTTCCATGGCAATCAGTGCAAAGNATTATCAGCCACCATATAGGTCTTTTTCTATCACTCTTGACCTTCGATCTAGTCACGTACCGTCGTTACCCGAAGGTGACGAACTTCACAATTCCCCGGGAATCTTGTCCGGGGAGTCTGTGCCTTCATCGCGGTTGGAGAATGAGGCACAAGTGACATCTCCAGCTGGTTCACATAGTGCCCGAATGGACCACTCACCCGGCACGCCTCTTACGCGATGTGAACAAACCCGACCAGATTCTCCGGAGACGTGCACAAATGACGACTCTGTGCTGAGCACAAAACCAATTCCGGAACCAATGAACGATACACAAACCAGTAAGTTATAGCATCGTGTTCCAGTACAGGGTCTGCTTTTATTCGTAAAGATCTAGGTCACACACACCGGAAACAACCGTAGTGCTTTTATGTGTGAGGTATGATACTCCTATACCGATCTTCCTTGATGTGTGACTTTTGTCGTCAAGTGGAAATTGTAAACGTCTCCAACAGTCAGTCTCAGCCTGAGATGGCACAGTTCACTGGCTGGCGCCTAATATGATTCCGGCTACTACTGACAAACCGATGTGATTCACGTCCATAAAGAATTCCATAGAGAACAACGACAGTTAAATATAAAGTCATATCCACTGTCGTGTTTGATTGATCCTTGAAGTTATTCTATCTGGCTTTTTAGTGTTTCTTTCAGGACAAGGCTCCATTTTGAACCGGCTGATCGTAACTTGTTATATAAAGATTATATATATATACGTGCATCAATAGTTCTACACCAAATAGGTTCTCAAATTATCCAAGTCGAATGCTCAGTCGAACTACTGCAGGCACAACCAGTATTTGACAGTTACTGGTTGACTGTGTCAATCACGCCAATGCTGTCTACGTCTTGTTGAACGCATAGACGCATATGCACGGTGCGGAGTGAAACTGTGTGCTTATGGGCTTGTGCATTAGAGATTGGTTCAGTCTACGCAGAACTAATGATCAGTAATTTTTAACTGCTGATTGTATCTGTACCAGTGCGAGTGAGAAATTCGACTTGGGCGGATTGGGAATCTGGCTATTCTTGGTGTACGAGATCTCCTGATGCATCACATTCAAAAGTTCAGTTCAGTTTTTACAACCATTAACCATGCACTTTCGTGCACCGGTTTTGGTTGCTGTCTTTT